TTTTTTTTTTTGTATTTAAAATAAAAAATAACTCTTTCTATTTTGAACCGAATTTTGGATCTAATATGAGGACGTAATTGATCATTGTTGTTGGACTTATAACTAATGAATTAGGTTTCTCATTTTAAAAGAAGGGGTTTTTTTTTTTTTTTAAAGAAATACAATTTGAACTTAAAATATTGACATGATTTGTTGACTTATCAATCACAATTATTAAATATGTAGTGAATTTTAATAAATATTGGGACTCATGGTTAAATTAATAGTAGTGATAATTAAGTCAATAAATCATATCAGCATTTTAAATTCAAATAATATTACTTTTTTTTGAATTATAGAAGGCTTTGTATGGTAGAAGCTGCTTTTTGAAGCTTGGCTTCCACAGCTAAAACTCACTTAGATAACTCTGTATTCAAAAATGTTCAAAGTTTAGCCTCTGAAAACTTTGTATGAGTTGGGAATTCAGAAGTGCTTGAATAAAAAAAACCCAACTCCACTAATGCAACTGCTTACACATGTGCGTTTGGAAGTCCTCTCTAGAATTCAAGACATGGTGGAGAACACCAGCCCCAAAATAAAAAAAATTCAGAGGCAAGTGGTATTAAAGAAAGCAAAGTTATGGAGGGTTTGTGTGCATGTGCACCAACCATTCACATGATCGATCACCCATGACAGTGTGGAAGGAACATTTGGCTTCGTCTAATCTATTTTCATTTTCCCATTTCATTGATGAATAAGTTATTCGATCAAAGAATTACTTAAAAATCAAGCACAAAAAACAATGATCAAAAGCCTTCAATGAATATTTCAGAAACAGTTTGCAATGGATAGTAGATAGCGATGATACACAAAATGTGTTTATGTATTACCTGTCAAGTATTTAATACAGTACTTAAGAATGACATCCAACACAAACAAAATACAAAAATTAGGTGGCTTGGTTTAAGTGACCTACTCCATTAAGAATGATGATGGTAGCCGAAAAATCTTATTATTCAAAAGATGTAGTGTGTTGAGATAAATCTATGATCCATCATTAATATATCTAAGCAGTTATAACCCTACAATTAAGAAATTTGCATGCGTTTGACTAAACTATTGCT